TTTAGTATATCAATTGTGTGATTTAAGAATGTTAACACTGTTATATTCTTTTTTAGTATAATGTGTGTGTGTGCAGAAGTGAATCATTTATTGCTTGCAAACCAATGATGGTAAGATGATGTCATGGGGTAGGACTGGATAAGTCTGACTTCTTCCTACTCCATTCAAGCATGTACTAGGTATAAGCAAATTGATATTGGATTGTGTGTAAAAATGTATGTTGTTATATCAACTGTTTTATATGCTTGAAAGAATAAATCGAAAGAATAAATCAAATCGTTGGTTCGGCCCTCCAACACAGTTCAGGTTTCTCATGTGGCCCCTTATAAAAATTAAATTGCCCACCCCTGCACTAAGTGAAGAGGACAAACAGTGTGGAAATTACTTCACCTCTGTGAATTTTGTACTTTGAGAAAATGTAATGTAATTAAGGTATTTTTACTTGAGTATTTTTATTTTCTGCTACTTAATTCTTGGACTTGACTGCATTTCAAAGGCAAATGTTGTTGTACTTTTTACTGCCCTGTTAACTTGAGTTACTTTTCAAAATCAGATTAATACAACTAAAAACATAATCAGCAGACTTAATAACCTGGTGGTATTCACAACAGTATATAACATACTTGAAACTGTAAGCATAAATTGTAGCTAACATTAGCTGCACCTCTACCAGCTGCAACATTAATGGGACAAACACAGTAAGATATAAACAACTATAATCCAATAATGCATTATTATATTCCTCAACCACATGTTAAAGTGAGCAATGTACACTGAATTTATTCCAGTTTCTCTCATTCAGTTTGACAAGGGGTTTCAGATACTTATTAATTATTACAGTGGCCTTCACTCAGTTTGTCCATTATCATACAACACATGACAAATAAAGCAGAGGAAACTGTGAGCCAACAGTCTCGGCACCAGGAACATTTATTTTCCAGTTACTCTAGTACAGCTATGGCCTCAGGCTGTCATGGTGGGCAAAGGCTTTTCTATACAGTGTTAATCAGGCTCATCACCAGTATCACTGTCACCAGACTCTGACAGCAACATCACTACTACAACAGTAACAGACCACTGGATGTATACTGGGTCCAGCATGTAGTACAGTTTGGGCTGGACTGGCTAACCTTGGACTGCAGGGGTTATTTTAACCACACTGGTTTAACTGATGCAGCACCCTTATTTGAGGAAAACTGAGGCAAATGTCCAATAATAAGTGTGATTGATTCAGCTATAGTGAAGGGAGGAGCTCTACAACTCCTTCAAACCTGTCCGGCCAAACAGGCCTACCGCTGTAGCATTTTGGAAAGGATAGACCCATTTCGACAGGTTCTTTTAGTTGGGCTGTATTTTACAGGATTTCATTAAGTGGATTCTGGCATATAACCAAAAACAGACGGGGGTATCGTTTGAGTACAGTAAAAGCTGTGTGACTATGATGCTAAGGTACCAATTCTCGTTAACATTTCTGGTAGTTTAAAGTGCCGTTTAATCGGCAGTGATTTAACTAGATACCTGTATGATAACACAATGTATAATATTCTGAGAATAAGCAACACGATAACTAGGCTACTGTAAACTCACTGTTAATCAGTTAGGGGGTTCATTAGCGTTCATTTTTGATGGTTTCCTCCATCAAAAGGATGCGAACCATTTCCAAACATTACAGTTCATGGAAGTAAAGTCGGCATGGCTTTATATGGTCTAAGTTAATTGTTGTGCCGAATACAACAATATAACGTACAAGTTATCTAGCGTTAAACATGGCCAAAGAAAGGGGTATTTACTTTAAACACATACGGACGGTGTTGATAAAAGCAATGGCAAATAAACAGAGCATTTTATAGTATTTAACTTAGCGTAGCCCACGTCTGTCTCAATAGAAGAAATAAAGTCCGGTATAATGACAGTAGCGACGTTAGCAACCGGCTACCGCAGCGAACTTACCTGTGCTACCCGAACCGGTTTGCTGTCCCTGGAAAAGCACGAATTTGAACCAGCTGGTGAAATATTAGCGCTTGTATTGCATAGGCCTATATTCTCTGGTTATTTCCTCTTACTGTTTAGTGTAGGAAGGAAATTGCTGCCTCTTTTTGTTTCCTTGTCTACACGCCGGCGTTCATGACTCTTTTTGTCTGATGAATTTAAATGTCACATTGTATCTGGCCACGCCACATGGGCTGACAGCTTGGCTTGGCCGTACAGTCCAATGAGAAACGAGGCAGGGCTCTCTGGTGCAGACAGGGATGGAGTAATTCGCTGAACGTCCACGTTTAGACACGCAGAAAAAAAAAGATATAACAGGTTGAGGCGGGGTTACTTGAGTTCACAGCCTCCCTCTCGATCATGCCCACACCATCAGCATACCATTCTCTGTGTGTGATCATGTACGCCCTTCAGACCTGTCCACCGTGATAGGAATGGGGCACTTACCTTTTATTCACCGACCGGTTAACACATTAATAATGTGCGTGGAATATGTGGCATTCAAATTTCACTTGGAACACATCCGAAATAAATACAGGCTTTTTCACGTGGCATAAATGTTACTGAGAAACATTGTATCTGAGCAATGTTAAAGTCCAAATGGTGTTCAGGCCTCTGCAAAAATATGTCTCAAGTATTTGTCATGACATGATGGTCTGTGAAGCTGTGTTAGGCGTTGTGTTGCTCACCCTAACATGTTAATCTCATAATGATATTGTTGATGTTTATCATCACAGTTTAGCATCTTAGCTATATGTTAACATCTGCCAATTGGCACAAAACACAAAAAGTAGGCCTTCGCAAGTGTTTGGTCATAATGCTAAGTACTGGACAAAGAAAATTTGACCCGTTGTTAGTACTAGATGAGACATCTATGTACCATGTTGGCACTGGAATCAATGTGAATCAGATCATCCAAGCCCTTAAAATATATAGGATATCAATATTTTATTTTGTAATATTTAATATTCTCTTGCGCCCTATCCTGTTATGAAAATGAATCACAGACATAGTTTCTACAGTGGATGATATGAATAGTGTTAACAGATGTGTGAAACAGCAATAGTGCGCTGTATTTTCCTATCTATTATCAATTTTTTTTAAGTTTTAGGCCTACAATACAGATATGAATAAACTCAGACATTCTTCTTCTCATAGCAGCCTGTGAACCTTTAACTTAATATTATGTAACTTTAAGCTGCGCGTGAAAGCACAGAGCTGCTTCGGCACCCATAGGTGCACACACCGAATTGTTTTGGATGACATGCAAATAGACCAATCACGGACCGGGGGTGTGAGGTGTTATCGAATCAAAATAGATGGGAGGGTACTGTCGGGAGATAGGGTGATTAAAAGGCGGGCACAAAAGAATACGTAGCTAGGAAGGCTCGCCTGACTTTGGGGGGGGGTTACTGGAGTTCATCATTTCACATAGCCTGATGTTGTATGGAAACTTTCTCCTACTGACCTACTGTGGCAGAGCAGTGATAACAGGCTTCAAGCACACAGACACATGGAATCCTTGGAAGTAGTCCCGCATTATGTAGACTCTGGCCTGATGAGCACATTAATCCTCAAAAAGTATAAAATTTGAGTAAAAAAAACTTTTCTTTATGAATTTCACTGCCCATATTGTATAATATGATTTTTTTAAAAATATAAATACATTTTATAGCACACACTGGTAAATAAAAATAAACTTTACAGCCAATGTTATTTCATAGAATTTAGTTTGACCCATTTTAATAGTTTATTACAATGCAGTAAAACATACAGAATGGCCTTGAACAATACATACATTTAAAAATATTAGACTTAATAAATCCTATATTCCTATAAAATCTGGTTTTATTAACATATGAATCTATTGTGATCTTCAACTGCTCAGACATGTGAGCTGCTGGAAGAAGCAGTAAAATATAAAGACACTGACTTAGGGTTGTATAAGAAACAGGATCCCAGAACGTGACACCTTCTTAGACCTTCTTTTTCAACCCCATTGCAATGCAGACTTCCTGTTAAGATTGTTTAGCTGACATAACCTTGATGACATCAGACTTGGAGATACTTAGATTGTCCTGCATGGGTGTGTCAGTCTTTAACATTGTAGTTTCTGATCTTACTCATCCTGCCAGGTGCTCCAGGTCTGCTGGTCTTGGTAATATTTGATGGTGTTGTAGCGAGGTGCATCCTCTGCCGGACCTCTGTTAGGGGTCGTTTATGAATGGCCGCACTGGTACCATGCACCATCATCTGAAGTCCAGCACCGCCAGACTCACCCACCTCCCCCTTCAACTCACCGTCACCTTTAGGTGCAGACAAGAGTGGTGCATTTTCAATGGCTGTCAAAGATGATACATTTTAATTTGCTAGTGTCTCTAACCAGGTTTAGTTTCAAACTTGTGGGTGTCTGAGTGGATCAGTCATCTCAGTGTAACCATTAGTCCTCCACTTACAGACAGACATTACTGTTCCTTTTGGCATGTGTTTTTGGTTGTGCCTATATTGCTGCACTCAAAGAATCACGTATGGACCAATGTGCTCTGTGTACTCAACCCATTCATCATACTACACAGAGAAAACATAGTTTTCCATGACATTGGTTTTCACATGCTCTAGAAAAGAAAAACACCTTCTTAACAACTCTGGACCATAGTCTGGGCCTGACGTTTACTGCTGGTCCTTAATGGGGCAATGAGAGCAGCTGACTGAAATAATTAGAAATTCAAATAGAGGTACCAAACATTTGGTGAAAATTTTGCCAATCTGTCAAAATTGTCTTAAAATAATAATGTGTAATATGGTTTATTAATGAAGCCACATGCATAGATTAAAAAGTGTGAAGATATGCCAGAATATATCCAAGCTGGATAATTTCCCTTTTAAGCATATTTTAAAGAAGCAGAAGGGGAATTTGGGCTGGGTTAAGGAACAAGTCATTAGTCTTTCCTGCAGGCTGGATGTAGGACTTTCGTACAAGATATTTTCTCATTAACTGCTGCACTTACTTGAATAAAACTCAAGACCAAATGAAGATCCTAATACAGATTCAACCTTTCTAAACATCCGTTTGTTCTGTTTCCACATTGCAACTGTGCAGTATCTTATTGCTCACATTGACATGAGGAACCGTATCTAAACTTTACTCATACAGCTCTTTGATACCAGTAGTAAACTGTTTTACCCAGCGAGTGCAGTTATCACAACTGTGTGGAAAGCCTGTGACAGATTTGTCTGGTTTCACAATTATTTGATGGCATGATGCTGATCACTGCACCTCAGCCTGATCTGGCAGCTGCTCTGGTTGAGAAACTGTTCCCTGGAGAGCTGACAGAGACTAAAGACACAGACATTGGGTAACAACCCTCCTTGCATCTGTCCGAGCCACTGCAGTGACATTCACATTGGCTATTACTGTATGTACCTGTATTTTGGCAAAATGATATTGTGTGAACATACTGCCCTTAACACAATGCCTAATAGTTGATGAATTACTGATTACTGACACTTATTAAATCCCTGTTCACACAAGACGTACATGAGGACTTCATGTAATTCAGGATGAGATAATTTAATATTAATATAGTCCTATTAGCAATATGGGAGAAAACAATATTGGCCTTCAGAATAGTTTTCTGTTGAGTCCTAGTTATCCTAATGTGGTTACCTTCTGAGAAAATTGATGGACTAAGCCCATGGTCTAGTATCTCCCACACTTCCTTTAATGACCGCAGTGATTCTTCTGATGACAGCTGAGACCTGGACAGACCTGTGTAGGTCTGAGGCCCCATTTCTAACAAGCTCTGTGACCGGCTGAGCGGAGGAGTGTTCTCCTTGTTCTTGGAGCTCTAATGAAAAACAGACCAGGAGACAAAGGTCATTTCAGATTGTTGTACTTACAGGATGTGAGGAAATTCTGGAACTGTAGAAATAATTAAACATACATTTTGTTTTGGTGCACTTATTTTTTCTATACATTTTTAATGTTTTGCTTACTTTCCACAGTATTGATTCAATATGAGGACTGCTTTAGGCAGCTCAGCTTTTACTGCTTATTAATTACTGCAGTATACAGAATAAGAGTATCGTGTTACCTCAGGCCTGTCTGTGGCCTTGTGCTCCTGGGACCAAGGGTTGGCAGTCCCTTGTGTGGAAGGACCTGGGTTGTTGGTTCCAGGGAGGAGTTGTTCAGCAACAGTGCAAGCCCTATGCCTTAGAGCATACTGCAGCTCCTGAAGGCACAAATACATCAGTGGACCCACTGTGCTCTCTGGTGGTAGCACAGAGGAATACTCAACACCAGGGTGATCCCTCCTTTGCAGTATTCAAGGTGGGTGTCCTTTTAAATTTATGTAGTCTTTTTGTGTTTGTTCACAACACATAGTGTCACCAGGTTCTTCTTTTCACCTGACAGTGTTGCACCTGCTGTGCTTCACTTGAAGAGTATAGCACATGGGTTGTTCATATTATCCTCTCACTTCCCCATACACAGACTAGTTAAATATTATTTGATATCCCTGACAAATTATGACTTCTTATTAATTTAGTTTTATCTTTGAATTTTTGTAAGAGATTTATTAGGCACAAAAAATTAGACAAAATTGCATTTAAATTATTTTCAACCTGTCTATCAC